CCTGCCGCTGCTGCTGTTCCTGCTCAAGCATCGTGCTGAGCAGGACAGCAGCAGCAAAACCCGGCCGGATAGATTTCAAGTGCTGCAGCAGCAGTCACCAAGACATACAAAACGTAGCAGTGCAGGCAGGCAGAGGCACTTACGGCCACTGCTGCTGCTGCTGCTGCTGCTGCTGCTGTCGCTGCTGTTGTTGCTGTCGCAGTTTCGTCCGTCGATGCTTCTCCCTTTCTGCTGAGGAGCAAAAGTAGGAGCAGCAACTGCAGCTGGAAGCGATCGCTGTAGCCCCAACAGCAGCAGCTGCTAAGGATCTGGCAGCAGCTGTTGGCGAAGGGGCTGCTGCAGCAGCTCCTGCTGCTGATGCGGCAGCAGCGGCTGCTGCTACGGCTCAGCGAGGGCGGTCTGTGCAGGCTCCGCTGAAACAGCAGCAACAGGAGCAACAGCAGCAACAGCTGCAGCAACAGCTGCAGAAGTAGCAGCAGGTCTAGGCTCTCCTCTCAAGACAGCGGCAGACATGCTCCTTGCGGGAGGTGTGAGGGCCCCCTCGTCAGCACAGTGAGGGTTAGAGGGCCCCCCAATGGCGCTGACGGGGGCCCTACTCCCGTGTTCTGCCGCTGCTGCGCTCCTGGTCTCGACGATAGCTCTAGCACACGTCGGCGTGAAATAGCTGGTTTGTGTTTTGCTGCAGCAGCAGCAGCAGCAGCAGCAGGAAAGATCTATCGAAGCAGATCCCGATATACAGCGCCAGCAAAGAAAACAGGTTCTCGTCTAGATATGAAGAAAATGAAGGCCAGAGGGGCTAGGAGCAAGGCGAGCTGCTGCTGTCAATGGTTCAGTTGCTGCTACACGAAACATCTGCTGCGGGAGGAGGCGGTGCGCGCGTGGGCGCTGGGGTCCGCCATGCGGTCTGTTTGATGACTTTCTCTTTTTCTGGAATTAAACAAGCAGCTGAAAGAAAACAGAGAAAGCAGAAAGGCAGTATGGTGCGGCGAACAGAGAAGCCCGGGGGGCCGACGGTGGTCGGGGGCGGTCTCGGCCTGCTGAGGCTGGGGGTT